ACGATGAAAACAGTGTCTGTCCCAATATTAGTTGCACTTCACAGTGTTACAACAAATGAAACCAGCCTATGAAATTTCACACATCATGGCTCAGGGCTCCTGTGCAGTATGTAAGACATACTATGAACAGAGAATATAATTCATATTGTTCACAGAAGCACAACAAAGGACTCTTCTTCCGGGTGATCATTGACCTCACCAATAATACAGGCACCAGGCTACGAAATTAGAACCAAAAAGTCATGCAGATTTTTGTTAAAGGACTTCGTTAGCAAAGAAAATAAACCAAGATTGGACAAAGAGTGATTATTTGCCATTATTATGTGTCTTCCAAAGCGCAGAAAGTTTGGGACCCAACCATATCTGTTCACCTCTGCGTGTGACAGATCACAACTATCCTTTCAAATCATCACAGGCAGTGACTATAACCCACAAAATTAAAGGTACAAAAGCAAAAAACACCCTTTACTAAAAAAATCATAAACCGGAACAGAGGACAGCAAGCAGTTTGTAAGTTGGTGAATTAGAACCTAAAACCACAAGTCAGAGGATAATGTGAGAACAATGATAGAAGCACAAAAACAGATTCCTCTTCTGGGGGAACACTGACTTCACCAACGTTAGAGGCACCAGGCTGCAATTTAGAACCACAAAGTTATGAAGACTTTCTTTCAACGCCTTGGTCAGTGGTATAAAATAAGCCATTATTGACAAAGAGTGATTTTTCTGACATTATTATAACTTTCCAAAGCACAGAAAGTTTGTGGGACCCCACCATATCTATGCATCGCGCCATGATGACAGATCACAACTTTTGTATCAAATCATCCAGAGAGTGAGATTAAAAAAATAATAAATAAAGCCTCGAAAGAAAAAACATCTTTACCAAAGATCATAAATCAGAACAGAGGACAGTAAGCAATTTGCAGGTTGGTGAATTAGAAAGTAAAACAATTCATAAAAACTTAATGTGAGACCCACAATGTCCCTGAAAGTGGTAGCACTCCTAAGCTGAGGATGGGTGCTCTAGACAAACCCTGGGTCAGATGCATTCCCTAGTCAGAAAGGAAGGAAGATCCTGTCAAGAGCTTGAAGTAATCATAATTTTCTCAAGCACAAGTGGGAAGAGAGAATACATTTCACCTGAGCACACAGGGGTTGTGACTGATGCTCACTCTTCAAGTGAGCCAGGTGGTTGAAGTGAAATTTCATCAGCCACAGATGCTTGCTGTGACATCAGTTGGGCAGTAAGTAGGTCTGGGCATGTTAGCAAGTACAATGGAGCTCCTTCAAGCCTCACTTGTACTTGAAACTTATGAGGAATATATCAGAGTGAATGTTCCATTAAATGGGGTGTATATTCAGGAAAACATGTCCCAAAAATTCGCCTTCAGTGTTGTTATACTAAGTGAGAAAAAGAAAACATTCCCTGCACATTTAATACTTTACTTCAGTGTGAACATTCAGGTGTTTAATATGGCTAGATTTGCGGCTAAAAGACTTCCCACATTCAGTACACTCATATGGCTTTTCTCCAGTGTGAACTCTGAGGTGTCCAGTGAGGGAAGACCTTACACGAAACGACATCCCACATTCTCTACACTTATAGGGCTTTTCTCCAGTGTGAACTCTCTGGTGTTGTTTGAGGGTAGAATTATCACTGAAAGACTTTCCACAATCACAGCACTCATACGGCTTTTCGCCACTGTGAACTCTCAGGTGCTTAATAAGGCTGGAGTTTTGGCTAAAAGACTTCCCACATTCAGCACACTCATATGGCTTCTCTCCAGTGTGAACTCTTTGGTGTTCTTTGAGGTAAGATTTATCACTGAAGGACTTTCCACAACCACAGCACTCATATGGCTTTTTGCCACTGTGAACTCTGAAGTGTCTATTAAGTATGTATTTTTTGGTAAAAGATTTCCCACATTCAGTACACTCATATGGCTTCTCTCCAGTGTGAACTCGGAGGTGTTTAGTAAGGTGAGCCCTTAGAGGAAAGGACAGCCCACATTCTCTACACTCATACAGCTTTTCTCCAGTGTGAAATCTCTTAGGTTGAATAAGGTTAAAAATTCGTCTAAAAATTTTCCTACATTTGTTACATTCATAAAGCAGTTCTCCAGAACACACACCCTGACACTGAACAACTTTCAGGTTGTGGCTGGAAGCATTTTCACATTCACCCCACTGGTGATGACTTTTTCCACTGTGAAATTCCTGGGAAATCTCACTGCCACAGTGTAACTCTTCAGTGTTGAGAGTGGCCTGGTGCTTGGGAATCTCTGAGTTGTATTGCAAGACTTCCCCAACCTCCCTGCTGGCTGAAGGCACCGAAGATAAGTAGAAGCTGGACCTGCTCACAAAGGAAGCTCTATCCATAGCTTCTTTCCAGGGCTCGTCTCCACACTCATTCCTCTGTTGCTCGTGAGTGTTTGCACTGAAACAGAAGTCTCCAACATGTGCATTACTACAGAAGGCTTTCTGCTCAAAATATGCTGCATGTGAACCAGTCGGGTGCAAAATAACTTTTAACAGAGAGAAACACTGCTTACACAGAGGGGTCTTCTGGGTGCTTGGAACTGTCTTAGACGCCCTGACGTGCAACTCTCCTTGTATAGATACAGAACAGGCCTCATCACCATCGATTTTATGCC